TGACTGAAAAGAAAAGTCTAATTAATTCCTTCCTGATTAATTCAGCCTCTCTAATTAGACGGGAATTTATTCTACACCAATATTTCACCGTGTCAGCAGAAACGCCTCCATGGCCATGAGAAAAACTGAGAACATAGTTACCTCTAACCGCCTCCTCCCTCTGCTCCATTATGAGCACTAACACACCCACACACCCACACACCCACACACAGACACACAATGTTTTTCTCCTCACGCTCAGCAGTTGTTTCCCTTATGTCTAATGTTAAAGCTCACATTTATGGGAAAAGTAAGAGGTCAAAAGTTCATCAAGTGAGAACATTAATCCCTACCTTAATCCCAATTCCCTTCTAAATTACTATACAGGAGGGATGGATGGAAGGATGGAGGGATGGTTGGACAGATGGATGGAGAAATTGATGGATTATGAATGGATGATAAATAAACGGATGGATAAATGGACAGGGATGGATGATTAGATGGATGAACAAAGGAATGGATGATGGATTGATTGGTCTCATCATATTTAAATGGTAAACTATAAGAAGGAAGATATAATTAAAAGTATTCCAGTCCTAACTGATGTTTAGTCAATAAAAACATGTTATTTTTTAAGCTTTGAATTTATTTGTAAGAGATTAAAAAAAAAAAAAAAACTTCCTTTGATCAGAGTTCCAACAGCTATTATTTCTCAGACGCTGGAGGCATCCAAATAAAAACTTAATGAGTTCATTCATCTCTGAGAAAAACAAAGGCGATACAAGGCAAAGCTGGTCCCAAGGTTTATTAAAGACTTCTTCAAAGTGAAATTGATAAGGCAGTAACTTTCCACGGACCAACATTTGTCTTGTTTCTCACCAGACCCGGCCCTTGTGTTTGTTGTTTGCTTCCTAGTCTTTGTTTTATCGCCTTACAGCATGTTCAAATATTTAAATACATTATATTTAATCACAAATCATGTTGTATTAGAGTCTGTGCAGGTCCATGCTTTCTTATTGCAAGACTGGTAGCATTACTCAAAGGATGTGTGTAGTAAACAGAAAATGGTCCTGCTCCACGTCCTGTGACCAGCACACACACACACAGACACACACACACATATGAACTGCATCGGCTTGTTCAGCAATATCCCTCTGTTGGCAAACACTGTGGCTGAGCGGATTAACGAGTTATCAAGTGACATTTATCATCAGTTACCTGAGTGTCCTCTGAGCAGCCGCAGCACAGCCAAGGATTTATTTCAGCCTCTGTGTGACACAGCCGAGTGTCCCGGGGTCGCTGCAGAAACAAATGTTTGGCATTACCACTGATGGATTTCCAACTACATCCTCGTAAAAATGGGACTTAAAGAAAGAGACAGAAAAAAGTGCAGATTCAGCAGTTTTTGAATAAAGATGATACATCAAAATTGATAGAAAGGTGAGGAGAATTTTATCTGAATTCCACTGGTTTAGCACAAGGGGGTGCACAGACCCTGAGGTCTCAGCAATTCACTACGTACTTTAGAATTGAACATATATTTCCATCCATTAGCTGCCACTTATTCCTTTGGAGGGTTGACCATCCAAGCTGTCAGTGGGTGAGGGTGAGGAACACCCAGTATTGTTTGCCAGTCCATCGCAAGCCCACATAGAGAGACAAACAACTATTCACATTTTTGTTTAGTAAACACAATCTTAAATTAGGATATTTTTTTATTTCCTTTTGACTCTTTTATACTCTTTTATTAAAAATAAATGTACTCTATGTACTGGCACTAACATTAATTATGACAGATGAGTACAAAATGTCTCTGCCAAAAACCTCACTGTTTAAAACAAGACCACAAATTGCTCAACTTTTGCATTCAGCCACATGTGTCATTGACTGCATGACCTGCAGTGACTGAAGGTGTGTCCACACCAGAAAGCAACCAAAGAAGGGTGACAAAATTAAAATAAAATAAATAAATAAATAAAAAAAGAGAATAAGATAATGGCATTAGATAAACACAGGACACCCACAATACATCAGACACAAACGGCTAATTGACCACCTTAACAACACATTCAAGGATGATGCGAGACCAATTTGAAACAAAGAAGATAATTAACCAAGCCCGTAGGCAGCGGTGCAAGAGAGTGGAAACTGGCGTGTGCAGAACACACGTGCTTTAGCTTCATTAGCAGTATTGTTACCAGTGAGTCACTCAGCGGAGTCAGCTCCTGACCTTTGTACGAGACTCTCAGGCATTTAGGTGCTGTGTCGAGTGGGGAGAAAAACTTATTTATAATTTATATTCCAAAATAAAGAGAAAAAAAAAAGAAAAGAAAAATAAGGTTATCTCAACTTGCGTATTATCACCACTCTTAAATTGGCTGCTGCAAATAGTGTTAAAACAGTTGTGTTTGTCGCAGGCAATACAACGAAAGAAGGAACATGCAGTTTGTCTTTCTCAGGCATCAAGAGGTGATAATAAAAGACAATAGTGACAAATGAAGTCTTCAAGAAAATACAAACATAACTGAATAGAAACAAAAAGTTAAAAATAAAAAGAAGTTAAAAAAATACGAAATAAGCTATAAGATGCAAATGGAAACTTTATTTGAACTATTTCATTAGAAGGTTTGTGGAATTACATTAGAGTAAAATTATTACAGTCTGTCACCGCTTTCAAAATGTATACACATTTTATCTACAGCTCCATGAAAGATGAGACGGAAAGTAAGACAATACATTTGTTGTACAATGGATTAAACGCCACAAATAGGCTTTCTGGAAATGAGACGGGGCTGTAAGGTAAGGGAGCAACAAGCAAGTTTACTTTTAAGCCACATCTTAAACAACCTTAGTAGAGCAAGTGCTTTAAAAACAATCGATAAACCAATAAAACGAAAAATAACAGGTCGATTGGAAGTGAATTTACTGACATGCATTAAAACACACAATTAAACCTATGTGTTAAATCCTGCCTAAGCTAAAAGTAAATACCAGTAAAAACAACAACAACAAAAAAGATGTCATAGTTCAGGTCACTGACATAGAAAATGAAGGTTATTTCTCCACGGTTGGGTGGCACAGATAAAAAAAAAGTCTCTGTCACCTCTGGACTTCAGCCAGGATCTAGGAACATGAAGCTTTTAGAACCAATAAATGGCATCCATCCATTTAAACTTTAAAAATAAATTAATCTTTAAACTAGCCATCCTAGTGCAAATTGGAAGATTAGAAGCAGGGTAAAATAACTGTATTTATTTTCCACCACAGATCAGTGCAACAGCTTTTTTAAGGCTTTTAAGATTTTAGTGAGTGAAATGAGGTTTTTAGCTTCACAAAAAGCAAAAAAAAAAACAAAACAAAAACTAACCTGATTCCTGAAAAAAGGTCTTGCCGTTAAGAATACATTTACAGTATGTTTGAGGCATTAACTTCTTTCACAGAGATTTGAACATTGTGACTTAACTGTCATGTGACTTGGTGTTAATTATGTTCAATGTGCCATTACTTGTGTGGAAGAGTTATATTGTCTTTCCCCTTTAACGATTTGTACAGTACCTTCTGTAACACACTGTTCCAACTGCCATTCCTTTTGTTGGGCCTGCACTATTGTAACTTTTTATATGGAGTAAACATTTAGTTTTGAAAATATGCCCTTGTCTTTAGCCCAGGCAGCCAGGGGGGACAAGAATGGAAGTCAAGTCATGTTTTAATGCAATATAAACTTTTATAAACTATTTAACTCTGATTGATTGAACTAAAGAAGACGCCTCTAAAATGTCTTGTTTGTAAATGTCTTTACAAAAGAACTCAGTTCAGTTGCCTTCTGTTTAACTGCTTCCACAATGACCCGAGTGACTGAGATGCTACATAGACATGTCTCAGAGAAGATTTCACAGAGCTTCAGCCATGAAATCTAAACGTCCACTCCCTCTTAGACTCACACACTCACTCCAGTCACATTGGCCTCATTCGAGGACAGTGGTGTCATTAATAATAGAAACACATAACTGTGGTAAATAGAGGTCTGGGGGGAAAGCTGCTCCATTGACTTTTGTTTTACTGGGGGTTTGACAGATGAATCATTTATCTGACAATCCTATGAATAACAGAATGTTGTTCTGCACCTTCATATTTAATGTTTAGTTCAGTGTTTCCCAAACTTGGGTGCAGGCATCACATGCAGCTAGAGAGGCAAATAACTGTTAATTATATACATAAAAAAATGTAAAAAATTGTAATTTTATCTCCTCTATCAAATAAAGATAGAATGTTTTTAGAAATAAAAGTGTTTTTAAAATGGTTTGATGGAGTTGTGAATAATCAAAATGTGTCGATGTGCTGCTTTTTATTTAACTCACAATATGGTAATATTTCACTAGCTGTGTATTTTCTTTGGTAGTTTGTTTGAGCAGATGGGTACAGCATTATCACAAAACTGTGGACATTTAGTAACAGTATTGTGTAGAGAGGTCTATGTCCTGTTGCATTTTTTAAATACATCTTTCTTTAAAAAATCAGTTCATGATAAATATAATCCCTTGTATTATATTTAACATTATATATAATAGTTTGTATAATATCTATCATTTGAATTTAAATTTTGTGTATCACCTCAAGAGTAGTATGTACATATATTTTTTTATTACCCAGAATCCCTTTGTCTATCACAATTATCAAACACATAGGTAGGTAGGTAATTTAGGTAATTTAGTACATTGTCCTTCATCCTTCTATCTGCTCAACCGCTTCCACCTATATGTTTAGCACCACTCCCTTGACTCATATCCTGAAAGAAAGCGACACAGATTCGTTATCAGTTTCTGCCACCTGCTGCTTTGGAGATGTAGTACAAGAGATATGAACGACAGATTCATAAATAATTTGCACTCTGCTACCGTATATGTGAGATTATATATTATATATATAATATCGTGTGCACGTTAAGATGTGAAATTTAATATTTTCATAATACAGAATATAATTCCCCTATCATATGCAAATACGTGACGTGCGACGTTGAACAGGAAATTCTCGTTTGACACCGTCACTTGACGTGTGGCCTCATGGGAGGCTGGACAGGTAAAAAAAAAAGAAAAGAAAAAAAAAAAAAAGAAATCATTTCCTTATCGTCCCAGTCTCTCTCCACGCTGGACATTAAATACAAACCTACACAGACTTCAGGTATGCATCTGTGACTTATTGACGCGCATCTGAATGCAAATGCTACTTATGTATAGTGTGTTGTTTTATGGTGACTTAACGTACGCATATTATTAATTCAAATTCTTATCAATCTTATCGACCGATAAGTTAATTACCTTTAAATAAAAACCAAAAAAACAACAGTTTGTAAGCTCTTAATTTGAACTGAAAAGGATGTTCTCAGTGTCCGAAACGTTTTACAAGTTCAGACGGGAAAGCGATCAACAGTAGAATATAAATCATAGTTTACTGTGTTACCTATGGACCTACCCTAGTGCGGATCTCTTTAAAGAAAGTAGATAACATACAGGAAGTTCTCACGAATTGGATTCGACACCATTCAAAATAATAGTGCTATAAACAACTAGAAATACTACAAAGTTTTAGATATATTGCCACTGTGTTACCCATTATAAAAATTACATGATTTCATCTTTAACTGTTAACTTGTAACTATCCAACATTTTTGTGCCCCGTCTCCTGGTCAAGAAAACGTATGACTGCTTTTATTCTGAAGTACTAGACCGGAAAAACGAATTTATGGTTGCCTGAGGCGGAACCTAACAGTGGTGTTTGTTTCGTTAGCCGCGGCTTTCAGAGAGTCTTATCTAAATGATTCAGCTTTTAATGTCGATCTTCTCTTTGTTTTTGTGTAATGATGAACAGGACCCACATGAAGCGATTCACCATTTTAAAAATGGCACTGGCAGGATCTGCGTCGACAGGACAGAATGGACAAGAAGAGAGTTTCACGTTCAAATCTGTCCGGATAGCAGCCGTGGTTGCACTATATTGGTTTATATCAATAACCATGGTGTTCCTGAACAACTATCTGCTGGATAATAAAGACCTGGAGGCACCGCTGTTTGTCACGTTCTACCAGTGTTTGGTGACAGTTGGTCTGTGCTGGGTCATGCAGTTGCTGTCCACTCTGTGTCCGTGGCTAATCGACTTCCCTGTGGTCAAGTTCGACCTGAAGACGTCCCGGGAGGTGTTGCCTCTGTCCGTGGTGTTCACGTGCATGATCACCTTCAACAACCTGTGTCTGAAGCACGTCGGAGTGGCCTTTTACACAGTCGGCCGGTCCCTCACTACAGTGTTCAATGTGCTGTTCACCTACTTCGTCCTCAAACAAACCACATCATTCCGATCCATTCTGTGCTGCGGCGTCATACTAGGTGCGTTTATGTCAAGCAATCTAATAACAGTTGACAATTTTAATGACAACCAGCTATCATTTATTCTATTTAAAATCAGAAGAAAAAAAACGTTTACAATGACCTTACAATGCCCTTTAATTGTTGTTATAGTCAATGAAAGTTACTGTATTTGTAGTCATAAATTTGATTTATTATTAATTTTATGGCTAATTCACCTATGAGTATGTGGAACTTAACTTACTTTAACAACTCGGGACATTAATCAATATTTAATTTGGGTCAGGGTGAGTTTAAAAAAGAGTATTCTATAACCCTAAGTATTGCAGTACCTTTTGTCATAAATATAATAAAAATTGGTACAATAAAAGTGGATGATGTTACAGATAAAAAAAATAGTCTTGTTTTCTCACCTGCTTAATGAAATAGTATACAGGTCTGCAAACACGTTGCTCACCTTACATCCTGAATAAACCCGGCCCCTGCTCCTGCTCTCCAGCATGGTGCTGTCACCTGACACTATCACGAGTGAAAGCACGCAAGCAGATAGAAAGGTTAGAACCCTTAAATTAAAATAATTAAACACTCAATATTGTAGTAACAGCACCTGTTAATAAATACGAAGATCTAGGTGTGGAGGGAGAGCCCACGAAAACTTGTAACTTTTTATAGTATTAAAACACATTTTTTTGTTAGTAGCTGTAGCTGTTTGTTTTATTTCTACATAGTCTAATACATTGAGGGGTTTTCTTGGCTTAAACTGAGGTGGGGCTAGTACCCATGATTGTTGGCTCACATCTACATGTACCTTGCCTGGAAAGATAAAATGTTTTACCATTTAGTCTAATTTAGGAGATATAATGTTATCCTTATTTTTTTATGTGCTCTATTCATTTTTTTTTAACTAACCCCCTCCAAATTGATATTATAGTTATATGAAAACAGGGCAAATAAACTAATCTTATCAGACATTATGTTAGTATCAAGTTAATTGTTTCATTATAAAGAACACCGTCACCACATCATCGCAGCATTGTGGTGTAGGTGGACAGGAAGAAGAATCATTTTGCTTCCTCCAGATGCTTCTCTAGTTTTGACAGCCTGGATGTTTTGTCTCTGTAGGCAGTCATTACTTCAAACAGTTAAATCTGGCCAACCCCTGACCCAGTTCAGGTTGTTAACAACCTGCATTGTCAAATGTAATGAGCCACATGTCAGACATTCTGCCCACAGAGACAGGGGATGATTAATCTACTACATAAATCATGTCAGAATGCTGTGGCCTAAATGAAAGAACACATGCTGCTCTTACTCTTTCTTGAAATGGGTTCTGTAGGCAGTAAGAGAATATTGGAGTTAATTATTAAGGAGTTGCATTAAATTCAGTGAACGCAGATTCAACTACGTGTTTTATAAATTTGGCTGCTATTAGTTTTTTCTTGCATCATTTCCTTGCATCGTTGTTAATGAAGCACAGTCTGATGTTTCTATTAAAGTCAAATGAGACAAAGGTAAAAGATCTAGAACAGCGTTCCCCCTGACACTGCCAATGAGCCTGGTAATGTGAAGAAGAGGTAAAAGGATACCACAGGAAATGTGTTAATTGTGAGACTCACCTATTTCTTTTCCTTCTTTTGAAAGTGCCACTGTTGTCACACTGTACTAGCTTATATTCCAGTATCATTGTATGTAGAGTTATCTGTTTAAAATGTTGTAAAAAATTTGTTTTATATACAGAGGGTCCCTGGTTTACTCAACTTTCTGCACCGTCTCTGATAAACCTACTAAAAAAGTCTTGTTCCATCATTCCAAACACAAACTAGTTGGCAAGTAGAGTGAATCAATATGTCATAGTGCCAGTCACTGATATAGGTGATACTATGTGAGTTTTGACTTGCGGCGAAAATCTTACGTCGCACCGTAGGAACAGAACTCTGACGTTAGTCGAGGACCCCCTTTATTACACACCTCCCAACTGTATTTCTCCCAATGGTTGGCCTCTGGCTACTAAGAAAACCAATAGTGCTCAATTATATTATTTTGCGAAATGAGTTTGATTTGCTTTCTTACAAGGGCTTTGGCCCTTTGTGGGTCAATGAGTTTATGCTTCACTAGCTGGGAGTCACTGAGCGACCCACAGAGGCTGATTATAATGTGTCTCGGCCCAAACATATTTTGCCAAAAATTACGCCTTAAAGATGAATCTAAAATGCTCTGAACATAACCATGTTGTTACACAGGGCTTGACTTTGAAAAAAAACCTGCAGTACTTTAGTAACATCTGTATGTGTCATTGCTTCCTAGGTGGATTCTGGCTGGGTGTGGACCAAGAAGGTTTAGCCGGGTCTCTCTCCTTGTCTGGCGTCTTTTATGGCATTGTTGCCAGCGCTTGTGTTTCTCTCAATGCCATCTATACCAAGAAGGTGATGCCAGCGGTGGAGGGAAACATCTGGAAACTGTCTTTCTACAACAACATCAACGCCTGTGTCCTCTTTTTCCCACTTATTCTACTGTTTGGAGAGTTTAGTCGTCTCGCCAGCTTTAGCCACCTCACAGACTTGGGCTTTTGGGGTATGATGACAATCGGGGGAGTGTTCGGTTTCGCCATCGGCTATGTCACTGGTCTTCAGATCAAGTTCACCAGTCCACTCTCACACAATGTCTCGGGGACAGCAAAGGCCTGTGCACAGACTGTTATTGCTGTGGCGTACTACACTTCCAGTAAAAGTCTGCTGTGGTGGACCAGTAACATGATGGTTCTTGGCGGCTCGTCAGCTTACACTTGGGTCAGAAGTCTTGAGATGAAGGATGCTCCTCGTAAAGAGCCCCAGGACTCGGCCAAAGAAAAACTGCTTCAAGAGGAGAAAGAAAACGTGTCTGTTTAACCGAGGAATCACACACAATGTTTGTTTTTTTTTCTTGGTTAAGGAATGTGAAATCATGCGAAGTTTAAAAATCAAATGTGATCATGTTATGGTTTACTAGTGTGTGGGTTTTTTTCCATGTAAACATTAAATTATGGTGTGAAGGGACATGTTCATAATAAATTAAATCTTCAGATTTATTAAAGGCTTCATTTAAACTTTTTTAAAACTGGGAACTTGTGAGTCACAGTTTGTGCATTTTTTTATAAGGAAGGAAAGCTTAGCATAATAGACTTTATGTACTGATCATATTTGTCAGACATATTTTTTGACTGATTGTAAAACATTCAGCATATGTTTATAAAAACATCACTGTCAAAGTCTTGGCGTCTTGACTGGAGTTTAATGACAAACCATAACAGCTGTGTATATATGTTTTGTGTATACATAGAAACCAAAATAATATCTAGAACCCATTTTTATTTTTCATTTTTTACTTTAGGAGAAACTAACTCTAATGTGGACATTTACATGATATTTTGCCAATACAACATTATGTGAATAAGCTATAGTATAATGCAGGGGTCTCAAACTCCCAGCCCGTGGGCTGAAAATGGTCAAATGGACGAACTGTCCCCATGTGGCCCACAACCAAATGTCAGTGTGACGTAATCTGACCCCTGATGTTATAGTTGTTAGCCCTTCAGTGAGATGGCAGGGGCAGCAGATGCCCCTCCTCCCTCGCACTTGAAAGTTTGAGACCCTTGGTTTAATTAATGGCTGTACTCAGACAACTATGGAAATTCATGAATTTTGGGCAAAAACAAGAAGTCTTGTTAACTGACACAGGCTGCAACAGGAGGCACCATTAAGTACATTTTTGCAACTCATGGCCTTTTATTAGCAACAGACACCAGGGTCAAGTCAAATTTTCTGTTTTGATTTTGAGTAAAAAGGTGTAGTGTTGTAACTCTCGTCTCCACCCACAACTTGCCGTAACTGAGATGGTGAGAATTCGGGGAAAAAGAAAGTTCTAGTGAATAGAAAAGTATCATTTGTCAAAAGTAGAGCAGAGCAGCCTTGTGTGTGCCATTGTTCCTGGTGAATCAATAGACTCTGACAATATTTTATAGGGTCATTAGAGAGAACATTTGTTTATCAAGGGCAGAAAAAGAACCTGTTATGGCTGCATGACAGCCTGTGTATGATGAAGCAACAAGAAACACATTTGTCTGGAAGCTTGAGCACATATTTTCCGCTGGACGCATTTGTGGAAAGGCTGCTTTTTACCTGCAGCTGTATGAAAATTCGCTCCTCAAGCCTGTCAGCTTTAGTTGTCTTCTCTAAACTTTTCTCTTTGCTGTTTTTGTCAGTAGCTGTTTTATTTTTTTTCTAAATAGGTTTTCCCACTCACTTGCAAACAAGGACCTTAAAATAGAGATTTTTCTTTCTCTAGACAGAAGCAGAGATAGAAACTAATTACCTGCACGTAAATGATTTTAAACAGATCAAAATTCAGAATTCAATACATAAATATAAGAGAATTATTTAAACAGTGACGTACATTTTTAGGCTTAAAGCTTTTACCTTTGTGCTATTCTGACAACTATAAACCGTGCCACAATAGGACACCAAAGACCCAGTGATGATGTATGTGACAGTAGGACCGCAGCTCTGCCACGCCTGGACTGCAGCAACCTATAAAGTTGAATTAGACCTAAGTCATGTGGGTTTTCTTTAAGGCTTTATCTAACAGGCCGAAAAAGTCATTATTGATTGAGAGAAAATTTGTTAAGAAGAGAAAAAATCCCTTTGTAGTTCCCCATCCAGTCACATGGTGGCAGTGATGGTTCTTATTTAACTGTCTCAGACAGCAGTCAGATTTTATTTTATCAAAAGAAAAACAAAAAACAAATACAATCCATTTTATTCTTCTTTGGCAAGATTGTACGTAAGTCAAATACTGCAGTATTGCCCGAGTCTATTGTTCTTTAAATTTCATTTAAATCGTATGCTATTTTTAGAGTTTGCCACATTGGCAAACAGGTTTACCTTGTAGCCACTCCTTTCATTTACTACCTCTGGATTTACTCTTTTAGTATGAGAAGTATAAGGTAAACATGTCATTAAATGACTGATAGGTGGATGACAGTGTACTGGAATACACAAATAAAAAAATAAGAACTAAAATTTTATTTTAGTTTTACTATCTGGTAACATGCAGTTTTCCCTTTTGTCACTCATTCTTTCATTTATTCATCTTCTTCTGTGAGGATGGGGTCAGTGGTCCATCACAGATCTACATGGAGACAAACAACCATTCACACTGACATCACTGGGCAATGTAGCTCAACCTAATTTTTCATGTCTTCCCAGTGTGAGAGGAAGCTGTGTGAAAAAAAAAAAAAAAAACTTCACATGCATTGCAAGGACATGTGAACTCAGTAAAGAAATACTGGGGATTGAACCACTGACCTTTTTTTTGCTGTTAGGTAAGTGTGCACACCATATTTTCCAGCAGGTCTTCTGCCTTTTTAAGTTACTGTAGAAAACCAAAAGCTGAAAACATTTAACATTTCCAACTGGCCTATGTAGTACAGCTGCATGTCATTACTGGTTATATGTGATATAGGAACATTTAAGTCTGGTTTTCAGCCCTGGCTGACACCCACAGAGTCTTCAACTCAGATCTTTTCTTATAATAAAACAAGTCATGTGTGCTACAATATTAATGTTTTATGCACAAGTGTATAGTTCTCTACATTTGCTTTAGATATTTAGATATACAGAAGAGGGTTGGGAGGGGTGTAGTTAATGTGTATTCCTGCCTAAGAGATTTTCACAGCACTCTAAACATCGGCATAAAGACGGTTCAAAGTTTGTTGATTAAAAGTAAAGTTTTTAGGTGATTTTCTTCCATCTGTGGTTCTTGGATTATATTGCATTATAAAATAGTTTCCCTCCCTTTTTATCCCAGAGTCAACTGATTCACTGTGTAACGTCGGTTTTCTCTGTGGAGGCCACACACGCAGAATAGTAATGTGTTGAGATGATATATTCCTTTTCATGTCATTACTGAAAGTATCTTCTTTAGAAATCATGAATACAAGATGATACCACTCTGCACTCTGTAGTGCAGGACTTCTCTCTTATGAAGAGTACTGCAGCGGCTCCTTCCTTTTCAGTCCTGCACGTGTGCAGCATCCCACACAGGACAGTGGCGTGAGATAGGCAGTCACCGTCACTGATTCATTAAATTCAATGTATTTTTTTAGACTGACCACCAGGTGCAGCAGAGATATGTTGTTGACTTCACAGTGGGTTTAATTAAGTTAAAATATTTTATTTTATTCATTATGATAATAGATAGATGTTAGATTCTTGATGTAAACAATACTTGACCTTATTGTCCAGGAATTAAGAAGGTTGAAGGTTCCATTCCAGCTTGCATTCAGGAGGTTGCCAAATCTCTGGTGACCGTAGATGGGGACAAGCCCAAACTACATCCTTGACTCTTTGTGATGTAAATATTTACACATTTCCATTTAAATTTACAGTGAATAAAATCAAACCAATCAGAAAGCTTGTTCTAAAACAAACATACACCGGCCAAGTCTTCACTATATCCTGGAACCTTTGGCTTTCTAAACTTTCAAGGTGTAATGACAGCTGAAGTTTTTATTTTTTAGTTATTTTTTATGTCTTTTGTTTTGAACATGAACCTTGGGGATTCAAAAAATATAAATGTCGATACCTAACAAAGGAAAAAGAAATAAACACTCAAGACTGCACATTACTTCCAAGGTTGCTCAATTTCACACACTGTCAGAGCACCTCTCCTTTCACAAGGTTGCCATTTATCTATGAAAATACATTTTGAATCATTTGGCCAGTATTCGGCTCCCACCTGACCTTTTCTTCCTTGGGCCATGATCTACTCTCCAAACACACTGAGATACCATAAATGTGTCCTTTATGTTCCACGTAACATGACTTACAAGGCGACTAACACAACTGTACCCTAAAATACGACATCAGATATCGTACAGTAGCTCAGACTGGCAGTAAGGGGAAAATAAAGGTCGCCAAAAAATACAGGGACAAATCTGGAATTTGAATCAGCTTCACCACACAATGTTAAAGGAGGACGATGTAATGAATGTACTGTGTGATAATGCTGCCACCTATCGGTAAGGAACTTCCATTGAATACTACACGTTCTAGGTTATTATCATGGCTTCTTACATAAATTAGCAATTTGAAAATAAAGAAAAGAAAACAACATTGAGAACCAAAAAGACGAAATATAAATAACAATATAAAATCCTTTATTTTAATATTTAATCACGTGTTCTGTCAATACCATTTTGAGAGGTCACATGGCTTAGAATGACATCAGTTACTGTTACACAGTTTTCCAAAAGATGTCATGTTTTTTTTTCTAAAGCTGCCTTCCACAGTTTTGATCACACCCATCCTAATACGCTTGTTTGACATCTTCAAAAAGCCCTTGTTATTCTATTTGGGACAGGAGACTGTTAAGCACAGCTTCAGGAACTCCACAATTTACATAACATTTTCAGATGAAGCTAATCAGAGTGTTGCCCCTATCATTCCCAGCTCATACAACAGCACACGCCTGCTGTGTTCTCTGCTCATTGTCTATTCACACTTGCAGGCAGACTTTGTTTGACTGCATCAAATAAACTACCATCTGTAGTTCACAGATGTACTCGGCAAACAGGGAATTTGTGTCAAGTGTATTCGGTATTCAACACAAATACCACAAAAGTGTGTTTTTAAATGATGTGCTGTAAAAGACAAAAGTATAGATGATAGTGTTGATCCAACCACACGGGAGTTTTGAACTTTTACACACATTATACTTGGATTTAAAGATCCATACAACTCATCTGTCACATTCCAAAGTGCCACTTGCCAAAAGGTATATTTATTAAACATCACCTTGTGTGCTGGTAATATAGATTAAAAAAAAAACAAACAGAATTGCAACTGCAGTATTTTTCAGAATAGAGTAGCAGTGTTTTTTTTTTGCCTTGTGACCCCATTTCAACATCACAAATTTGAGAGTTATTTTTTTTCTACAATTTTCATGTTTGCTATAATGTGTTACAAATACAGAGTAGCCACATTAGTGCACACAATGTGTGTTAGGTTTTTATTTTTTTAGTTCCAGGTGACCCCATGTGGGGACACAACCCCATGGTTGAGAAAAACGCCAGATTAACGCCACCTTAAATGACCTTTTCTGCTTTTTAATTTGATACTTTTCTTCACACCTAAGCAGCAGAGATCTAATTAATTCTGAAACAATTAATTAATTAATCATTTAATTAATTGTTTTCATTCATTTTGATTCATATCATCTGTTTAATTTATATATATGTCACTAAAATATGCCCTGTGTGTTCCCTCACGCGAGGAAGCTCACATCCCAGTTCCCTTAGGGCCGTTCAGTATGCACGAGGCATGATCTCTGTGCAGAGATTTTATCTGTTCTGGCGTCCAGCCACAGTCCAAAACACATGAATCGAGGAAAAGGGCTGGATATAAAACCTAACAGAGTGTCAGTGGTTGTTTTCTTTTTATGGAGGTCTTGATTTGCTGAAAACCTGTTCAGGGCAAACGCTGCCTTTCCCTATATCAACTCCAGCTCCCTCTGTGACTTTTTAAGATATGAATGAATTAATCAGCTATTTATTGTCAGGACTGTCTTTTATCACCTTTCTCCACAAATTCTGGCCCCTGTGATTCTGCTAAAGAGTCCTCTGCCTTAGCAGGAGCCACTTATGCTGCCTTAACACAAAAAGATCTAATCTACATATGTCAAACAAACGGACAAACGGACAAACAGACAAATCTGGTCCAGCATACAGCTACACATGCATATGGTTTTCTTAAAAGAAAAGTCTATATTATATACTTTATACTATTGATCTTGATTTTCCTACAGAGTCTATACTAATGTTTACTGGATTAGAACACCATTCAAATTCTCTAATTCTAATCAACCATCTATTAACCATGAACTTCCTCTCACATATTGTACGCTGGTTTTGTGAGCTGCCCTCCAGCATTCTGGCTAATGGAAATATCAACAATAAATCCTCTAATGTTTAAGAAGGAAGGAACCCTGCTGCTCTAAACCAAACAACCAGAAAGTGTATGCCATTTTACATTAAGATAATGTTATACTCACACAAGCAAAATATTATAATTTTCCAAAATTACTCTGTTTCTTATTAACATAACTGGAGGTGAGCAGAAGCAGAACAAACTGAACAATAGCTATGGACTATGGCATAAACATTTTTTTTTTTGTTTTGAGATTTTAGAGAAAAATGTTGCTTTGAATTCCCCATAAAAAAAAAAAACCAGTACCATTCACAGTTTATTCCACCTGGCTCCCTGCAGAGGGACTTTGCTCTAAATAATACATGCACTGACACAGGCTCCACATGTATGTACAGTGTGAAGGCTCCTTTTTTCATTACGTTTTCTTTCTAGTATAAAAAAGTCTTTGTGCATTTTTTCTGGGAGTCCTTTGTGCTCCTGGAGCCAGAATGCTCCCAGCATTCCGCAGTCCTGCTCTTGACTGAGGACCTGGCACAGAGACAATTGAGTTTTCCCATCAGAATGTCCACATTCTCAGTGGAACCCGACGGGGCACCTGCTTCTCTAATGGCTTGTGGAGCAGCAGATCACCGAGGTGTTCAAAAACACATTAGAGGTGACTGCACACTGTTACATACACAATTTTCTGCTACATTACAAAGTGAGGACAACATGTCAACACGTGGAAGAACTCTACTGCTCAGATGACAATCGTTCATTATTTCATTCACTAACTTTTAAATCGCTTAATCTGTGAAAGTTTGCAGGAAAGATGGACATCACAGGTCCAACCAGTCACAATCAGTGAATTTTATTAAAAAAAAAAAAAATCTGTTAGACTTTATTCTGTAATTTCTAAAAAACATCATGTTTTAAAAAATAATCAAAGATTATCTTTAAATGAATAAAGTAAATGGACCAGATTGTCTACACTCTGCAGTTTTGCGTATTTCTTCTCTTGATATTTATATATATATATAAATAATATGATAATATAAATAATAATAATAATAATAAAGATTTGTGTTTTATGTATAATTGCCTTTTATTTATTTTCACTTAAAACTTGGTCATATTTTCAGGTCCTGCAGTATCAAGAGGCTAGAAATCAGTTCAAAACTAAGCAAACAGCAGCTGCTGAGAAGTGTTGAGAGAAAAAAAAAATTCCCCCTTAAATAAATAAAATGCTCTGGACACCGTCTTGTTTTTTAACCATACAAGAGAAAATCCCTTGGCGTTTAGATGTGCCTGGTGAAGCTTTACTGGAATTTAATTATATTTGATTTGGATTCTGAATTAGTGCACATCTTGAGGCAAACTATGCAGTATTTTAGAAGAAAAATTATTGGGACTTTGCCTCAGGTGCCTAACCGCCTTTTTGTAATTCACCACTTCTTACAAGGTTTTAAGAATTTAAGAAACAGTCTGTCTTTACACCAGGCCTAAATATTTAAGTGCACAAGCGGAGACCAAGGCAAAGGTCACAGAGCTCAATAGAGGCCTGTTGGGTTGAATGATGATGCTGCTGCTTGGTCTTTGGCAAATGATTGGTTTAGAGGATTTATACCCCATAAAAACCAATGGATAGTCTTGTTAAAGTTACAACAACAAAAAGCAAAATTATAAGACCAAACACAGAAAATATAGGAAATATTTTGATTGTTAATTTTAAATGTGTAAAATGTAGAGATGCTGTAATATAATACAGGTTTCTGATTCTGATTCTGATAAAAACAACAAAAACAACAATCCATCAACTAGAGCACAGTTTTGTTCCTTCTTGCTGTGTTGTTTATGTTTGAGCTGGCACTGATGCATTTGGGTTTTTTGGCACTCAAACTCTTTCATCTGTGCATAATATTAAAAAGTGTTTTTCCACTAGCATTTACCATTTACCAAATAAGTATGCCCATTCTAAAAGCTCTTTACCTCCCTTCACTTTGACCCCTCTGAGCTAATACTGCTTGTGTACATGCTGTACATGTGAGCATGTGCATGGCAGTACATTGTGTTCATGTAATAATGTGTGTCTGGCAGCGTGTTTGCAGTGAAGGTGCTGCAGGTCCGTGAGTTTCTCTGCAGACTGTGCAACACGTGCTGTCATTGACAAACACACTGAGAGGATTTACTAAACTTAGCTCTTACTCCTGAGACGCAGACACTAGCTGTGCTCTCCACAGATTTGCAGGACACATTCTAATCCCAGCCAGTGAAACAATGAGCACTCTTCTGCTGGCTCTCTGCAACTGCAAAAAGAAACCCTGAAGTAAACCGTTTTTCAACAACCAGAAATTGACCGTAATCCAGGAAACTCTGATTTGAATATCGACAGTGTGAAAACATCAGACAGTGATGTTCCCCCTGCTCCTGTATGATGTCATGTGGCTAAATCTGGTTTGAAACTTGTTAATCTATGTCTCTTTAATTGGGAGAACTCCCCACTCAGCCACACCTGACAGGAGGTGTGAGCCGCTGATTAAAGTCCACACTCCTCCCTCTGAGCATCGTGCATGTGCTGGCTGTTTGTTAATGTTGTGTGGACAGGATTTATCTCACTGGGAGTTTCAGGACAGCAGAGGAAGCTGCTGCTCAAGTTTAATCTGTTAAGTTTTAACATAGACACTTAAATTTTATTTCCAACTGAACAACTATTTTTCCAAATTCAGGAAAGTGAATTTGAAGTGACTTCAAGGCTACAACAGGTGAGCATCATTATTCAAGGACGTTAGTCCTGGAAGCTACAAAGTGAATTTTCTCAGCGGAGTTACATATTTCTCTCGTGTCTCCTGCATGGTCATAATTTACAATCAAACTGCACTCTTAGAAAAATGTGTTTCTGAGTCTGAAAACTGAAAAAAAAATCTACGAAGCATTGAGTACAAAGAAAATACTTTGAGTGTTTTTATAGACGAACATAATTCATTGTGTCAAACAATGCCAGTACACAATCTAGTTAAAGTGTGAACATTTTGCATATGGCTGATACACAGTGGACTTGAGCTGCCAGGCAGCCTGGGCTGCTCAGTGGGAGGCTGGTTGGTGTTCTTGCCTCACAGCAAAAAGATCACAGGTTAGATCCCTGGTGATAACTGATGGTCTTTCTACAGTATGTCATGTTAGCATGTTATACCCGTGTGTACATCGGTTTTCTCCAAGTACTTCAGCTCATTCCCTGTATGCAGATCAGTGAATTGGTTGTTTGGTCACTCCAATCCTACTGCAGGTTTCAGTGACAGCGTGAACGGTTGTTTGTCTCTATACTATATGTGACCTTGTGTTGGACTGGTGTACCAATTTACCCCCACAGTACTTGGTGGTTACCATGATCTAGGTTTTTATAAATAATGAAGAGAGAACTCTGAAATGCAGGAAGGATAAATAAGTACATTTAATAGGTCTGAGTATAGGCAGCTATTATCTTGTGATCAATATAAAATGAGGTCTGCCCCTCCCTCCGTATTTGCTGGAGATTTCATTTTCTGTCGTGCCTTTATTTCTCCCCCAAACAGGCTAAATAGTTAAGTGAACTAGTTTAATTTTGAGATCATCTTCAAATCTTGTAGGTTTTACGAACTCAGGCCTTAGGAGATGAACTGCACACTATGGCTTCTTATATGTTGTATGTTCATATTATCTTAGGGAGCTGTTTTCAATGCAGTATAAGATGTTTCCTGTATGTATTTCTACCAAAATCCTCAAGGTCACACACATTCAGCAGCAGTTTCTGCCTTTAACATTCATTGGGATTCATTGCAATTGTTTTATATTTCCTAATATATAATCATCCTATATATGAAGATATACCTATGTTGTAAGAAGAAAACATATTTTTGAATAAATGAAGGACCAATAACCCACAGGAGTTAGTTTACATGTAAACACGCCTTCAGTGGAATCGATAAAATATGTCAGATGTGTGGTTTTCTACTTAACTTCTTTGACGGCACTTTGTGGGTCAGCAGAGGACAATGGCAACATGCTTTGATGGGGAAAAATAAACACTGCACATTTTATTTAAAAAAAAAAGCTGTGTTTGTGCTTCACCAGCCACTTAAAATGCAAAAATCACATCTGTTAGTGAATTAAAAGATTAATGACTTCACATATTAGGATAAGAACAAGTCAGCTCAAGCATTTTGTGAAGTGACAGTTTCTCAAAGCAAAGCAAAACTGACGGCCTTGGGCCACATGTGCATCACTGAAGATAAGAAACTGTGCTTTTTACTCCCTTTTTATCCTCTTCAAATTCAAAACATGGCTGCAAGAGGAGGTTATTTAAAATCATCACCAGAGGGATAACATTGACTCCTAAGTGAAATTACCCAGACCAGTTTTCAACCCTGTCAAAAATATTAGCATTTTGTAGTTAGCTAATATTTAATATATATATTTATATAGAGTTAACTGCAAAACGATACTAGTCAATGGATCAAACACCTTTGGAATCACCTACAGTATTTACTGCCCTGTGTTCTGTGAGGCTGGTCTGATTGGAGTTGAAGCCTCTCCTGGATGAGACGGTCTTTTAAGCTTCCACAGTGCATGAAAATAACAGCATGCTTATATTGACAGTGTATTAATTCAACAATACGTTATTGTTAATCTTCAAAAGGTAATTCATTTTTCACCTCACTATTTATGTACAGCTGAGACCACATTTGGAAATATCACTCTATTGTAAATTGTTTAAATGTGTTTAATTTAAATCATTCACTTCCTGAATTGGCCTATTTGAAGTATATATTTTCAAACTCCTCTTCAGCAGACAGCCAGGTCGTGGCTTCAGGGGACACTTTAAGTGCCTGAAATGCAGTTTGTTTATCCGAAAATGAAAAAGCCTCGAAGGCCACTAAGAGCGGCTTTAGTATGTGCCACTTCCAAATGCAGAACACATTTTGCATCATTTTATGGGTTTTAATTATAGATTCCAATATAAAATGCATGAGGGTTTATTTTAAATTGTCGTTAGGCAGGTCATTGCAGGGCTTTCCCATTTCAGTGCCTGATTATTGGTGCAGCGAAGAGGTGCCTTGGTGTTTTCAATGAGGGATATTCACGGACAACACCCTCGACCAGGCTCCTTTAGGAGGCGCTACCCCTCGCTAAGACATGGTGTGTGTCCTTCCTACAAATGAGAATTATCCTCCAGACTGTTTTTTTTTTAAACTGAGAAGTATCTGTTCTTCCTCTTCTACAGCTTCACCTTTTCAACTGGAGGACTGTGTCTTTTTATAGTCTATATGCAGACAGTAAATATTTATCTTTATTCCTATAATACCAGATCAAGCGGTTTAAAGATAGTGTATGTGAGCTTGTAATGCAGTAACAAACTGGTCTGTTTGCAGAAACCTTTATAATGTAAACGTTTGGAACAGGACTAAACTGCATTGTATCTACCATTAAAGACAAACCTCCGTTGATAACACTTTATAACAGACTAACAGTAATAACTGACCCTAAATACAGAAAATACACTTTTGCCAGTTTGCCTTAAATAAGATAAAATGATTCCAGTTTTCGGTCTGAGCCATTGAATGCACACAGATTGAAATTAATAATAATCTTCCCACCCAACCCCGTAATTAGACTGCCAATAAGTATTCCATCCTTGCAGCAGTAATTCACTTCAATTTGCCCTACTCTGAGGAAAGAGGGGCATGAAGATGTCGTAATGACTCTGAGCAGAAGTGTCATTTCCTGCTTAACTCCAGTCTCAAGTGAGAGTCAGGGCGTCTCAAGAACTGGAATGTCTTAATTGTACATCTGCCTAAGTAAAAGCGGTTAGCATCACAATCAGCTTGAATGCTGTCCTTGTACCACAGATGTCATTAAAGTCATCACAGCATTATAGCCATCAGGTCTGCATCATGACTGCCATCCGTGTCTCTGTATACTGAGCAGTACAGGCACTTCTCTCCCAGTTCCCTCGTTCATGCAACTGTTTCAGATACTATTAGAAAGTTTTAGTAGCTATTTTTTTTCTTCTTAGTTTGACCTAAAATTCCAACCATGTTGGTGGTTATTCTGGACCAGAATTCATGTTAACTGTCCTGTAGTCCTGAGTAGCTTATAGTTTGTCTGTCGTTCCCATAATCATGTACAGCGCAGTATATTTATTTATTATATATATATTCAAGCTCACTCAACTTAATTTACAAACAGCATGCATGAGCTAATTCAACGGTTCCCAAAGCAGGGGGCATGGGACTATACATGGGTGCAGATGGCACTAGGGGGAGGGGGGAAATGACCCCCTTACATTCATAGTGAGCTCCATCAGTCCCTCCCACTGTCCCTACATAAGGCAACAAACATCCCTGGTAAAACACAGGAGTAACATTTCTGACATGTTTGTGTGCTACAGCTAATAGTGTGTTCAAGTTGTACATGAATTTCCATATATGTAAGCATGTGTTTTGCGAAACACGTGTGTAAATATATATGTTGAATATAGAGAGGCAAATTATTTGTAGTTCTTTTTTTTTTTCTTTGTGCCACAGTGGGGAGGTATCCAGGACCAAATAAAACAACAGTAATTGTGTTCCCTTTGTTCAATAAGAGTGGCAGTTCTGTAGTTTAAAATCAGGTTCAGTGGAGTTTTAAAGCAATAGCTGTGAATGTGTCAAAGAAGGGGAGCTGAACAAAAGTCCTCCGCGATACTGAAGTACAAATTTGGGAACTGCTGAGCTAATCTGTGCTGAAACAAATGTTTGTCACAGAAAGTGTTGTTTTTATTATTACTATAGCATTGCTTTTTGTTTGGTGGTTTTTGCACTTTTCTTTATATCTTTACTTTTCTTTGTTATTATTTATTATACTTTAGTTTTCTTATTTTATAAAGGAACGGCTTTTTCTCTTTAACCCTTTGATGCACATCATGGGTCAAAAATCACCTTACCTTGTTTAAATAAAATAAAATAAATAATTTAAAAATAAATTCATTTCATTATTCAGTATCTCAATCATAATGTCAGGTCTGTGTCTGTGGCTTAATCAGTGTCATCACCCTCACCTGTGTCTGTCATTAGTCTCACTTGTGTCACCTGGTGCCCTGGGTGTACATACCTTTCTCCCTCCTTCTGTCTTTGGGATCATTGTTCTGTGTGTGCTGTGATGTTATGTGCCATTTGTTTGATGTTCATACCTTGTGGTTTGTGCCCTGTTTGATTCTGCCTGGTTTAGGGAATCTAGTAAGTGGATGTATTTTAGTTTTGTATTCTAAATAAAATTCCTGCAGCTTCCTGAAGAGAGTCTCCCTGATGTTGATGTTGGCTCCTTCCTGCTCACACTCACGGCCAAACATGACACACAACACATCATTCTTTTATTTTTTTGTGTTCATAGTTTTTGCGTTGTGGTGCTTTGGCCCAGAGGCAATGTCTCTGCCATTGGTGTTGAACCCCCAGGGTTCACCTCCTGGGCGAGATTGTAGGGTTAGGGCAGTTGGTACCTTCCTGTGGATTTGCCACCCGCAGGAAGGTTCAGGGGGATTGATACGGGGCAGTGTGAATTGGGTGGCTTTCATGGAGACTGCTGCCTCGCAACCCGGTAACAGATAAGCGGATGAAAATGGATGGATGGACTCTTTGTGTCAAAGCCCTTTTTGTATGTTTGTTTGTTATTGCAAAAAACATAGGAGTAACTACCTCTCAACCGAACCCTGTTTTTATTATATGCATAAAATGTAACTGAAATACATGTT